AAAGTTTATGCCATTCAATTCTGGGACCAATCGAAAACTGGAGTCACAATCTCAATGAAGAAAGAGCCACCTTGTTATTACTGCGAGGTCAAATTCACCTCGAGGTACAATAAAGGCATCCATTTTATCATGAAGATCTTCTATGACGAACGGCAATAAATGTGTTCAACCCCAAAGCATGTAATTGTTGACAGAAATGGTGATATAGAATCTATTTTTAAGTTCAAATAAATTCTTATAAATGCTCATTGCTCTAGCAAACGCCTGTACTGACTGAGGATTGGCTCCTCCTTCACCAGCGACAGATTCTGATAATTGAAATTATATTCGGAGATGTTCTTGTTGAATCTTTTAAAGGCATTACCTTAATCCCATTAATGAAGTAAATGAGGCATGACTCTAAAAATGGAAAAATATCAACTTGGCTAAAGTAGCTAAGGTACTCGAAAGATGAAGGTGCACCCGCTGTTCGTTTTTTACCTCATTTCAATTCACGCAACAGAGATTGGAGGTATTTATGCCGAGACTATTGATATGAGTCAGACGTGGGGCTGGCCGGAAGCTGGTAACAGGATTATATCAAAAGTTATTGAAATCGAGGCCAAACGAAATGAACAGGTTGTCCATTTCGAAAAGGTATTTATGGGACGCAAAGTTTATGCCATTCAATTCTGGGACCAATCGAAAAGTGGAGTCACAATCTCAATGAACAAAGAGCCACCTTGTTATTACTGCGTGGTCAAATTCGTCTCGATTCACAGTAGAGGCATCAATTTTATCATGAAGGTTTTCTATGACGAACGCAGGAGCGGATACAGGTATACCTGAAGTTGCAGGTGGCAAATAATCAAAAATTAAAGCTTTATTCAAAACACCTTTACAAATAAATGAATCAAATGACAAATTCCATTTTCCTTTTCCCTCTTTTTGCAAATTTTTCTATTACTTTTTCGATGTCAATAATTATTTCAGTGTGGGTATGCAGCAATGCTAGGCCAGTTAGCCTTCCCTCACCCATAGTTGAACGCAAACATGTTTTCAACCTGCGAAGAGTTGAAAAACTACGTTCAGCCGTAGCATTGCTAACCGGAAGTGTGGCCAAAATCTGGACGAGTAGTCTTATAGCTGGAAACATATATTGGTCGCAATCATTTAGAGCTTCCGCTGCCGATTGTGGAATTGGTGTTTTCTTGCCAGTCCAGAGTTCAGACCACACTTTGTACTCCCCTTGCAAATTCGCACCGCTTTTTCCCAGAAAACATTTGTAACGTTCACCAAGCGATTCCATGAGCTTTAAAACTTCGTCTTTTTTTTCAAGTGAAACGGTTTTCACAATTCTGGCCGGTAACAGAAAATTCAAATCGAAAACTTCCAAAGTTTTTTTTGGCAGTCTCTCTTGAAGATCATTCACAATGTGATTCAATAATGGCATGAATATTGCCCTACAATAATACTCTTCAACATTAGCCATCGGATAGTTCGCACGATGCATTTGTTTTATCGTAAGCCGAGGAGTACTGATGTTAAATCCTAATCTTCCGGCAACGTTCGAGATTTTCGTGAACAATTCGTCACGAACGGCAATAAATGTGTTCGACCCCAAAGCATATAATTGTTGACTTAAATGCTGATGAAAACATAGCAGATATCAGATAATTGAAATTATTTTCGGAGATGTTCTTGTTAAATCTTTTAAAGGCATTACCTTAATCCCATTAATGAATTTAATGAGGCATGACTCTAATAATGGAAAAATATCAACTTGGCTAAAGTAGCTAAGGTACTCGAAAGATGAAGGTGCACCCGCTGCTCGTTTTTTTATACCTCATTTCAATTCGCGCAACAGAGATTAGAGGTTTTTTTGGCTGGTCTAGAGATATGAGTCAGACGCGGGGCTGGCCGGAATATGGTAACCGAATTTTCACAAAAACTATTTATGTCAAGTACAAAGTGAATGACTACGTTACCCATTTCGAGACTATATCGATGCAACGCAAAGTAATTGCTATTCAGTTCTGGGACCAATCGAAATCTGGTGTTAGGATCGAAATGAAGAGAGAGCCACCTTGTTGGTACTGCGAGATCAAATTCAGCTCGGGATACAGTAGAGGCATCCATTTTATCATGAAGGTTTTCTATGAAGAATAACAATAAATGTGTTCAACCCAAAGGCACGTATGTATGTAATTGGTGACTTAAATGGTGACGAAAACTTAGAATGTATTTTTATACCCTTGCAGAGCAAAGGGTATTATAATTTCAGTCAGAAGTTTGCAACGCAGTGAAGGAGACACCTCAGACCCCATAAAGTCTATATATTCTTGATCAGCATCACGATCAGAATCCAAATACGTATGTACGTCTGTCCGTCTGTCTGTCTGTCCGTCTGTCCTCCTTTCGGTTTTTATGTAAACTAGTCTCTCAGTTTTAAAGCTATCTCGCTGAAACTTTCCCAAAAGTTGCCGGATCGGGCGACTATATCGGATAGCTCCAATACGAGAGAATGGAATAAAAAATTCTTACTCCGTTGTTTTTGATCAGATCGACTTGATTCCTTCCAGATGGCGTTTTCTAACTGCTATTGAATTTCGGATTAAATTTTATCAAAATCGGATAACTCCATCATATAGCTGCCATAGGAGAGATCAAAATATATATATATAAAAAATGGAAAAAAAATTATAATGTTGTTTTTAATGCCACGAGCATGATTTTTGAAACATCAAGTTTTTCAAATACTCTTAAATCGAGAAAAAAATTTCATAAAAATCGGAGTACTATATCATATAGCTGCCATAGGAAAGATCGAAAAATCTATATAGAAATAACGGAAATAAAATTATTACCTCATTGTTTTTCATCAGACAATCATGATTTTTGGAATATAGAGTTTTCCGATGAGTCTTGAGTTACAAATTAAATTTCACCAAAATCGGACGACTATATCATATAGCTATCATATGAACAATATGGAAATCGTCATAGATTCGATGCTGTTTAGCCTTTTTGTATTTTCTTAGACATATTTAATGACTGCAAGGGTATATAAGCTTCGACTTGCCGAAGCTAGCTTTCTTTCTTGTTGTTCAAATAAATTCTTATAAATGCTCATCGCTCTAGCAAACCCCTATACTCGCTGAGGAGTTTCTCCTCCTCCACTAGCGGCAGATCCAGAAAATTTAAATTATTTTCAGAGATGTTCTTGTTAAATCTTTTAAAGGCATTACTTAAATCCGATTAATGAAGTAAATGAGGCATGACTCTAAATATGGAAAAAAAAGCTACTTGGCTAAAGTAGCTAAGGTACTCGAAAGATGAAGGTGCACTTGCTGTTAGTTTTTTATCTCCTTTCAATTCACGCAACAGAGATTGAAGGAATAAGCTGGGCTAAAGATATGAGTCAGACGTGGGGCTGGCCGGAAAATGGAAACAAAGTTTTAACCAGAGAAGTTAATATAAGGTTCAAACTAAATGAACAGGTTGTCCATATCGAGACCGTATCATTCGGACACAAAGTTACTGCTATTCAATTCTGGGACCAATCGAAAACTGGTGCTCATATCACAATGAAGAAAGAGCCACCTTGTAATTACTGCGAGGTCAAATTCACCTCGACATACAGTAGAGGCATCCATTTTATCATGAAGATTTTCTATGAAGAATAACAATAAATGTGTTCAACCCAAAACCACGTATGCAATTGGTGACTTAAATGGTAATGAAAACAAAGAATGTATTTTTGTGTTCAAATAAAATCTTATACGTGCTCGTCGCTCTAGCAAACGCCTGTACTCGCTGAGGGGTTTGTCCTACTGCACTAGCGGGAGATCCATGTAATTGGAATTATGTTCGGAGACTATCTTCCTGAACCTTTTGAAGGTATTACTTAAACCATTAATGAAGTAAATGAGGCATGACTCTAAATATGGAAAAATAGCTACATAGCCAAGGTAGCTAAGGTACTGAAAAGATGAAGGTGCACCCGCTGGTCGTTTTTTACCTCATTTCAATCGTCGCAACAGAGATAAGAGCTTTTTTTAGATTGAGAGATATGAGTCAGACGTGGGGCTGGCCGGAAAATGGTAACAGAATTTTAACAAAATTGATTTATAAAACCTATAGACAGAATGCTATCGTTACCCATGTCGAGACTATAGAAATAGGACACAAAGTTAGAGCTATTCAATTCTGGGACCAATCGAAAACTAGTGTTGATATCAAAATGCAGAAAGAGCCACCGTGTTGTTATTGTAAGGTTATGTTCAGCTCGAGGCGCAGTAGTGGCATCCATTTTATCATGAAGATTTTCTATGAGGAACGGCAACAAATGTGTTCAACCCAAAAGCAAACCGTGATGAAAACATAGAATGTATTTTTGAGTTCAAATAAATTCTTATAAATGCGCATCGCACTAGCAAACGCCTGTACTCGCTGAGGAGTTCCTCCTCCTCCTCTAGCGGCAGATCCAAAAAATTGCAATTATTTTCGGAGATGTTCTTGTTAAATCTCTTAATGGCATTACTTAAATCCGATTAATGAAGTAAATGAGGCATGACTCTAAATATGGAAAAGAAAGCTACTTGGCTAAAGTAACTAAGGCATTCGAAAGATGAAGGTGCACTTGCTGTTCGTTTTTTACCTCCTATCAATTCACGCAACAGCGGAGAGACGTATTTATAGCAGGCCTGAGTGTATGAATCAGAGGAGGGGCATCCCGGACGCTGGTAGCAAAGTTCAAATAAGACATGTTAAGGTCAGGGGCAGACCAAATGAACGTGTTGTCCATATCGAGACGGTAGCATTCGGACGCAAAGTTACTTCTATTCTGTTCTATGACTTCTCGTGTATTCGTGATACTCATATCACAATGGAGAAAGAGCCACCTTGTTATTACTGTGACGTCAAATTCACCTCCGCATACGGTAGAGGCTTCCACTATAGAGCGCATATTTACTATACCGATAATAGATGGTAATAAATGTGTTCAACCCAGAAGCAAATGATGATGCAAACATAGAGTGTATTTTTGAGTTCAACTTAATTCTTATAAATGCTCATCACTCTAGCAAACGCCTGTACTCGCTGAGGATTTGCTCCTCCTGCACGAGCGGCAGATCCAGATAATTGGAATTGTTTTCGGAGAGGTTCTTGTTGAATCTTTTGAAGGCATTATACGTTTCCATCTCCGATTTGGCCTTGGCCAGAGCCGACTGAATAAGAGACAACTTGCTTGTCGACAGATTTACGACAGAAGTGGAGCTATTGGTTCTAGTTTTTTTGGAACCCGACGGTCCGTTTTGTTCAACCAACTTTTTTATAGTTTCAATAAAAGCCAGTAGGTCCTTTTCGTTGGTGAAACTTTTCATCAGGAACTCCATGCACTTCCCGAAGTCATTCCCCGTGGTCTCCAAGGCAGCTTGAGCGGCCTGAGCCTGAAAGCCAAGTTGTTCGAGTGTGGAGAGTAAAGATTCATCCACAGGAGGAGGAGCTGCGGGCAGATTGGCCCGGAGTTCATCCGAATGGCGCTGCAGGAGATCCAGACTTTGCTCCAGATTGTTCTTGGTTCTCTTGAGAGCCTCCACCACCAAGCGCCGTTCGAATCCCATCTCCACGAGTCTGGAAACACTGCGTGGATCCACCCAGTCTCCCCCGGAATTCGCTCCCCTCATCTCCTGGTTGACCTTCCTCAACGGAGCCGAGTTCTTGCGCTCCTCACTGATCTTCTCCCTACGCTCCTGGATAAACTGGATGGCTCTATCCACATTGCCGCCACAGGATCTCAATGCTAATCGGGCATCCGACTCCTCGTAGCCCATTTCCACCAGGCTAGAAAGCTGATTGTCGTTGACCTTCAGTTCGTCCAAGAGCTTGGCCGCCTCGTCCAGTCGCTCGTAGGCCTCATCCCTGCGGTTCTGGTGGAAGAGGAGAACACCCTGCAGCAGGTGGAGCCTCATGATCAGAGCCCTCTCGGGACAATTGGCTCCCCTGATCAAATGCAATCGATTGAACTGCTCGCCGTAGCTCTTGCGAAAGCTCCTCTCGCAGATATCCAAACGCCGCTGGGCATCCGGCAACTGGGTGATGTTCTTCAGGCTGAGATAGCACCACACTATGTCCAGATTGATCAGGGCATAGTTGTCCACTGCCTCCAGAAACTTTGAGTTGCACCGCGAGAAAAGTTCGTCGGCTTCGAGAAGGAGAAGCAAAGCCTCGTCGTAGTTTTCTTTTCCCATGGAAACCCTCGCCACTTCGTACATACTCATGGCCATCAAAAGGGATCGATTTTCGTCGGGCGGCAGGAAAATCGGCCGCCCATCCTGATCCTCCATTTCCATAAAGCGATGATCGGCATTCGCAACTATCTCCACATCCGCTCGAATCCTTTGGATGCGTTCGTGCAGCTCTTGAGTCTGATTTTCTCCGCCAACGATCACCATTAGTTGGTGATTGGTCTTCAGACCCTGCGAGGCCAGCGATCTTTGCCCGTCGATAATGCGACCTCTGGAGATGCACTTCACCTGACTGGCATCACTCAAGTTCAGCTTCTTGGCCAGCTCCTTGTGCAAATCGGACCCCAATCCTCCCAGCGAACACTTGACTTCCGTCATTTGCGAAGTGCCTCCCTTGCTGTCCACACACCGCACATTGAAGGTGGCCAAACCCGTGTCGTCGAACTCCCTTCGAGCAGCCAACTTCCGCAGCGCACTGTCCTGCAGTTCGACCAGGGCACACCGGCAGTTGGACACACTGATGCCCAGATCCCCATTCAAGTCCCTGGCCAAGCGGTCCATCTCCGAGTCGATGCTGCCCACGCCCTCGAAGTAGTACGGCTCCTCCCACAACTTGATGTCCTGCTCCCGCAGGCGAGCCCGCAGCTTGATAAACGTATTGTCAATCTGGGACATGTTCAGTTAGTTCCTGCACTACTCTGAATAATTTTTGATTAATCATCCAAATGTTTGACGTTTTTCCCCTGGCTACTGCTACTTTGAGATATCCCTTATCGCTTTTTCTTTCCTTTTAAAAACGGGTTGGAAACTAAACTAATTTTGCTAGGTACTTAGTTTTCCATATCGGTAAGTGGGTTCAAGAACCCTTTTCGCACCTGTCATCCTATCTATCCAATTAGCAATGAAGTGCATATAACTTAAGCCAAAGCGATAGCATTTGTATGCATTGTTACACTTAGGTATATTCATTATCTTATCTGATATTTGGAAAGGCAAGCAATTTAATTAAAGGCATTAAAAAAGTAAAATAAAAGTCAATCAAACTGTCGTATGAAGTTTCTTTTTCTGCTAAAACATTTAGTATTTTCTTAAAGTAAACATTTACATAGAATCAATGCACACGTTGATGTTTGGCAAAAAAGAATTGAAGGAAGCCGAAACACTATTGGTGGCATCCACGAAACAGGAACTGGTATCTTTGGGCAATTTTGCAATAAGCTTCAGGGTCTCGTTGATCCTCCTGGTCAACTTCATCGAGGATATAAACAATTTCCAGAAGCATTTCGATGTGTTCTTGATGACCGAACCATCGGAATCGTCCGTAGCACACAGTTGAGAACGCAGGTGGATGATATCATTGCAGATATTAATAATCTGCTTCACGGAGTTCACAATCTTGGCCACATCCTTGGGAATCGCCGTGCCACAGGCATCAATGGCATCCACGTAGTTGGTGCAGGAACTCAGGATGTTCACCACCTCCTTGATGATGCAGTTGGTGCCACGAACCGTGGTCAAAGCTTTGCGAAGGATTTTCCTGACACTTCCCACAAAGCCCCGTTCCTCCACATCCATATAATCCAGTTCGTTATCCAATTCATCGAGCAGCTGTTCCAACTCCGATTCAAAGTCGAACTCAAAGTCCAAGTTTTGATCGCTCCATCTAATTGAACTGGCCTGCAAATAAAATAATTGAATACAATTAAGGTTACCTTTATTAAAAAATTAAAAATAAAAAATCACCTGAGTTTTAATCAGGCAGGTGGCCGAAACCATAACCAAAAGGACAAGTGTGATGGCTTTCATTTTACTGGTTAATTAACGAATGTTTGTGGCCCGCAATTAGTTATCAGTTTATATACCCGCGAAGAATTGCGTCTTATCAAAAATCAAATCTATTCATGGAGTGCCCACTCCAACAATCTAAATCTATCAAACTAAGACATCACTTAAATAGTTTACACTTGATACCGAAAAAAGTTTACCAAGTCAATTTAATATTCTATTTTATTTTTTTTAATTGATAAGAATACATAAAATACGATGAAAAAATTATTTTGGGTAACTTTTCCGTGAAATAAATACACAACATTTTCCTCAAACTATATATCACACCACATCGAGTAATCGCACCGCGAAATCCACTTGGCCACCCTTAAGAATCGAGGCTCAGGACGAATTAAAAGCCGTAAACCACAGACAAAAAGGGAAGAGAACCACAATCGAATGGTGGCAGCCGACAGATTCCGGACACAATAGAGGACAAAAGGAAGAGAATTTGTTGCCATTGTCAGCTTAACGCGCTCAGTTCACTTTGTCCGGGTTATAAATGGTAACGTGTGGTTAAGGGTTAATAACTCCCACTAACGGAGGCGGAAATAAAAGGCCAGGACCAAGACGTTTTATATATACAAAAGAAAGTCGGCACCCCGCGACAACAAGTGTGGCTGCTAATGAAAAGTGCCGTAAATGTCTGTCGTAGAATCGTTTGGCTGTCGAAGGGATTGGATTGTGGGTGGTCTGTCATTAGGTTAGACGGGGTCTTCCCTTTTCGGGGGGAGTGACAATTTCCCTGGTGATAAAGTAGCTGACTGCGTTGTTTAAGGGGGTTCGTTTCGAGTTTACATCACATCCTAAGTTTCCTCATCCTCATTTAACCATCCTCATTTAACCATGATGATATCCTGTAAGCAACTGCAGCATTAGTTTAGTTTTGATTTTTGGGTCGATTTTATTTAAAATAAAAAAGTTATGTATGTTACTTAAAGTGTTTCCGTACCGTAACTAATTTAATTTGTAAACAGTTTTTGAAATATAACAGTGTTATAATTCAATATAACTTATATTTTTTTGCCTTTTAAGTTAATTTTTGGGTCGATTTTCTTGACATTTTGTTGATGCTTGCTAAAAATCCTAAAAATGCATTTTTCGAAAAACAGCCAAAATTCTGAAAATCCTCCTGTTGAGACCCTCAACCTTCGTCGCTTAAAAGTTATATTCCAACAGGAACATCGTTTTTTTTCTTAGAGCTGTTCAACTTGTTTCTTTTGCCGTCGCATCTGCACTTGGCATAAGTTAAATGTCGAGTAAATGTGGCTGACAACCATGATGATGCATCGTTGCCTGCATACGACACTTTTTAAGATCCTTGTCCTGTCCTTTTTGCCTTCGTCGTGGGCATGCAGCGAGTATGAAATCAATGACATGTTGTCGGCAAACTTTCCTCGGCACTAAGAGAGTTTTATCCCCCTTCGGGCATTAGACTAATATGAACTGATTTACCCCCGAACGAGCCCCACCCGAAAGTTGACAAGTGACAAGTCACATTGTTGTACATTAAATTAATGAAATCATTCCGCAACTTTTACAGGTCATGGCCGCACTCATTGCTCTCCTTCGATTACGGGAAACTTGAAGTGTCTGTCCGGATTTGCGGCTCATAAATATTGAGCGCATTATGTCATGAGCAGAAGAAGGGGGCGGAAGGATACGGGCCTGCAGTCAATTGTTGGTCATCAATCTTTTAAACAAATGCGGTTCAATGCCAGTGACAGCGGCCTCAGCCAAGGGGGGTGGAATAAATTCAAGAAAGGGGGGCGAAACACTGCTGCTGAAAGGCTGACAAAAGGACAACACCAGATAAAGATGGGTTTCTGAAAATTAGGATCATCTGAACTAAAGAAATACCCTTCAATTTTAAACAAGAATGTTGATATTCAAGATATTTAAAAAGTATTCTAGTCATGCGTTAAATTCAATTTGTAATAGAGATTTTTTTAAATAATCAAATTAGGGCTCCGTGTCGAGCTCATAAATATATTTTGTTTTGTCTGCTGTTTAAAGTAAGTTAATAATAATAATAAAATGATACCCTTTAAGCATTTGAAGGCCTACGTTTTTTCAGTAATTCTGCTGTGGATCACATATACCTTGATTTCCGCCGAACACGTTGTAATCATGGGACACTGGCGGCCGAGGGATTTTCTCATTCATAACCAGACTGTGTTTGTTAAAGGCAGAAAGAAAGGAAAGATCGCGCACACTTTTCATTACACTCAAGACGTGATTCAAAGACCAACAGCTCTTCCCTTCACTTTTCACTTCATCTTCTATTTTAGAGGGACCCGATTGTAATCAGCGCAATTATACTTACGAGCTATCAAAAGTCTAAGATTGCATCAGAGGGAGTTCTCCTCGAAGGTGGACCAAATAACATATACTGTGCCATTCGATTGTCGGCAAGAAAAAGCTATGACCTAAACTTCAACATTCTAATTTATTCCAATAACAAAACCCTTGAGTTAAATCAGCTTGCAGCGATATGAAAGTAAAAGTTTATTTAATATTCTTTAAGGTTTTCGGTACCGCAACTAATTAAATTTGTAAACAGTTTTTAAAATATAAAAGTGTTAATACGAAGCGTTACTTCGATATTGTGAAACTTTGTTTTCAGTTCATTTGTTGTTGAAGTCGATTCCGAAGATGGGTTATTTTATAAAGACTTTTCTTGCCACAGTTGCAATCATAGCAACTGTAAACGTTGCTTTTGCAAATGACGATAGAATTACGATTTTTGGAGATGTGAAACCAGGTGCTACCGTTTTCCACAAAGCGGAAATTGTCGAGCCTAAGAAGTTATTGCGCGTCGTTAAAAAGACAGTCTTCTTTAAACCCCAAGTAAGAGTGAAAGAACCATAAAATGAAATACTTGTTTAAATAAATATGAATCCATTTACACACAGGCCCACAAAATAGACGCAATAAGGATCACCGATAACAGTGGCCACAAAGGCGGTACTCCTGCATTGCTCGATGGAGGTCCAGGTACTAATTATGCCAAGATTCAGTTCCAATCTAACCGAAATCATCCTCTGAACTTTACTTTGGAGTACTTAGGTGCCCCTCCTAGTGCATTTTACTATTCTCAGAAAATTTAAAAGCCTTTTTCAATCAAAAAAAGTGGCTTTATTCATTTCAATACAATAAATACAACTATTGTTTGCTTTTGTAAATATTCCAATATTTTTTGTCTGTGTACCAAGTTGAGTTCAGCTTCCAAGTTAACCAGAACAGCAAAGAAATTTCCCACAACAGGATGGGAGCAACGATGAACCCTCGTCTGGATTTGATGACCATGGCGGCGACATATTACTTCCTTATTTGTGGGCCGTGCCCGCGACCTTTCACCTTTTCCCCGTCACGCTCCGCAAAAGTGAAACATTAGGCCCAGAAAGCACATTGTGTGCGAAGTGTGCGTGTGTTTCGCATTAAAACAATGACGTGGCGCAAACATTTTTAGCGCTGACAGCGAGCCAAACATCCGCCAGATAAAAATGCCGGCGAACAAGCACACAAATTTGATTGAATCAACTGTGGCGATGGATCCTGCTTTCATCCCCTCCCCGCTTTTGGCCATTGTTTCCGTCCATCCAAAGGGGTCCTGGCCATTTGCTAGTCGTTCTGCCAAACTCGCCGCTGGGATGATAATGATAAGCGCATAAAACCATTAAGTGATTCCACTCAAATGAGCACGTTAGACTGACTGCGAAGCTTACTGGCAGATCTGCCGTCAAGCTGCACTGGGAAAAATATACTGAAGAGCTTGTGATTAAGTAAAGAAAAAGAAAAGAATCATGCCTGTATGATTTCACTGTATTCCCATCCACTAATTGAGAAGCTCACAGCAGCCAAATCCCTCGCTCCGTTCCAAGTAAACGTGAACCTATAAAAAAATAAACAAAAGGAACAATTTTTTGTACTCCCAAGCTGAGCAACACGACATGGGAACTCGGATAAAGGGGCAGTGGCAGGAGCTCTAACGATGACAGCGATGTCCTTAAACTCCCGGCAAAGGGAATACGGGGCCAGGTGGGCGGATCCGGGGATCCGGGATCCGGATCTCAGGGAAGGACGACGCCCCCTTCATGTTAAATGGCCAACAAGGTGACAATGCAGATATAATGCTCATAAGCAGACGGCATAAAGAGACAAACGTGATGCGACAACGACCAACGACCATTATGTCGATGATTCGCAGGACGTTTCGCGAATCGCGATTGATAATGCTCACTTACTGGTAACCGAAATGGCGGTAAAAAAAAATCGCTTATCGCTCGACTTTACGCACAATATAACAGACAGATGTCAGTGGATTGCCCAACGATGTCGTTTAATGCGAATCAATGACAAATGAAATGTTATTGAAAGACAATCAATAGGAAGACAAGTTTTCCTGAAGTGAGTTTTGTAATTTCTTGAAGTCACATTGAAAGTTCTGAAAGCAGAAAAAAGAAATCAGAGTAATAAGTTGAAAAGCCACCCACATTTCCAACCGAAACTTTGCGCCGCCGACATTAGTTAATTGTCACCCGCTTCAGTTTGCAAACATGCATTTGGCCAAAAGCCAACACGGCCAAAAAAAAACAGAAAATAAAAAACCCAGCCAGAACGGAAAAAATAGAGAAATGGTTACAATTTAATTAAGTTCTTGGTACGTAATTTGCGCCAACACTTAAAGTTCTTTCCCTAACTTATTTTCATGCAGCTTTTGCTCGCCTTTTTTATAGTTTTATGCTGTTGCACCTTCGGGCTCGCTGGCAACGGCAAAGTCGACTGCTAATTACACAAATGTTTCAACTTTAAAACGCCGACGCCATTTCACGCGCTCTGCGTGTGAAATTTATAAATGTCAACTGCAAGAGCCACCCGCCTTCACTTTGCACTTTGTTTTGTCTGTTTAACTTTTGTTCATAGCTCGCTGACTTTTGCTGATTGTGCAGAGGTTGCAAACTGGTGGCGAAACCCACTCGAAGTCCCTGGAACCACCATCTCCACCGGCACTTACAGTTTCTAGTTCTTAAAAATTAAAAAATAAAACATAAAGTGGGGAAAGAGTCGGGACTGCAGATAATTCTGAAATAGAGACATTATATTTTATGCAAGTGCAACAGTGCGTATGCGTGTTAAAAATTGTTGTGCTCCACAGTTGCAATTTCATACTTGTTGGCGTGCTTTGTATAATATAAAATATTTTTACAGGCAATGCGATATAAAATGAATTGTTGAATAGTACAAAAATGATAATGTTTAAGGAACAAAATACATATTATTTAAGTTAATTTTAATGAGTTGAAAAGGGTCTTATTTATAACATTGATATTCTTAAAAAATTAAAGAGATTTCTGATTCAAGGTTTTCCCAAATGCTTCTATTCAATTTAGATCTTTGGACATGTCAACGTTTGAACTTCCAAGGCATTCATTTAACCAAAATAAAGGCTTAGAACCAGACTTAGACTTGCAAAAAATAAACTGAGCCAAAGAACCGATATATAATACACAAGGACACATAAAATTGCATTACACACACGGCGGCGAGGATGTACACGAATAAGGCTCCAGAACACATTTGGCAGTTACTGTCAGTCAATCTCCATTAAGTCCATCCCCAACACCTTATTGAATTTTATTGTAAATTGGAAAAAAAGAATTGCACTGACTGCAAAAGGCCAAATGGGAACAGAAAAACAGGGAAAACCGGAAAACAACGAGCAGCAAACGTCAGACAAAGATTTGAGAAAAAAGGCAAATTGAAAAGGAAAACAAATAGCTGGAGATAGAGGGCGTTGGGATTGAGGGCGAAGTTTTCAATTAATTTGCATAAACGACCAAACGATTATGTAATTTGTACATCCACATAAATTATCACGCAGTGGCAATAGTTTCCAAATATGCACCCCAGACAGAATGGAATGAAGGAGTTTGAGGTCCTGCGACGAGGGGTTAGCTTATTAGAAGCGAATGAAACTGGCAACTATCAATAAATTATCAACTGGGGCGTGGTAGTCAGGGTGTCCCAAAAACCACAAAAAGCACAAACATTAGAGGTGTTTTTGGGCGCCCTTTCGCCAAGGGAATTCGACTGGTTCAAATGAACTAGAGATGTTTTGAAAATTGGAATTTTTCAATATTTACTTTCACCTTTTTATTACAATTTTTAGTATAGTAATTTACAATTTTTAGTAAGTGCAACAATAAAATATAATCTTATAATAATAAACATAAAAGTAATTGATTTGACAGAAAGGATAACTTGGCTTCATAACTCTTGATAATTCAAAAAAGTTTCCTTGTCAATATATTGACTTCAATCCCTTCTGGTTAATCAATCATGAACTGAACCAGATTCTCTAGTGTACTCAGTACCAACCAAAACCTTCCCTTGACAAATTTTTGGGGCTAGGACATTGTGGCATAGTAGGTGCTTGCCAGGGACCGCAAATTTTATGCACGTTATAAATCACGGCCAAACAACGACGACAGCGCCGAGGACGACTGCAAAACTGTTCACATTAATTGTTGCAACGTCATTTTCGGGCCTATTGTGTTTGGCCAGCACCACGAACCCTGGCCATCCCACACAAAACCCAGGCGCCCCAACCACCCAAAAGAGAAACCCCACCACATTCGGTGGCGCAGGCCAATAAAAGGCGCTTTCTGTGTGTGCTCCAGACGCCTTTTTGTCACGTGGCAATTTTCGCAAAAGGAATTCCAACAATGTAGACGTTTTCTCTACAGCAAATAATCACAGGAAAAAAGAAGAAAGTCCAACTATTTTTTTTTTGTATTATCATCATAGGCAAATGTTCATGGGTCGTGGTGCCTGGAGTCCATAAAAAATTGCTGTTTAGTAGCTGGATTTGTGGATTTGTCAAAGGCTCGACGATGGAGCGCGGATACTGAAAATCTGCCACGTTTTTTTCAGCACATACTCATAATTTTACATTTGAGACACAAAGGGTTAAAGGCTGCAACATACCAATTTTGTTGCCTGCAAAGGAATGTCGAAGCTTAGAAGTTTAATGGGGGTTTTCCTCAGATATTATAGCTGGGATTATGGATAATATTTGCTTACAGTTTTAAGGGACAATGTTTTTAATGTAAAAATTTATATTACTACTTAAAAAATTTTTATCTTTGCATACATTTGTATAGTGACAAAAGATATGTTTTTATATTAATAGTAATATTTTCGGTATAAATATCCATTCTCTTTCAATGTCTTTAAGAACCGAGTCTGCACGCATATGTCCATATTTACAAACGGTTTGGGATGGCATCCACTCCATTGTGTAAAGATAATCCCGGCAAATACATAAAATGCAGGCAACAACACTTGGACTGAAAGTTATGAACTGAGACGATGAGGGGGGCCAGGAAGGCCACAAAAAAACAGCAAAAGGGCGTCGTTAATATTTCAAAAACAGAACACAACCAAAGCGATTCGAAGGCAAAACAGGCAAGGACATAAACAGAAGCGACAAACAGCAAGAGCAGACGCAGTCGTAATACTTGGCCAATTGCACTCGGGCCCACACTTGACTTTGCCGGGTCCATTCGAAATATTAAGGCATATTTGTCGCTTGGTCAGCGAATCCGGGCGGAAAGGTAAATGAGACAAAGCCAACCAACCAGCCAACCAGACGAGACAGGGCGAAAAGTCACCTTCGTGCTGCACACAATTTATGGCCAACAAGGACAGCTAATCCAGCAAGGATACCCTCGAAAACTTATTGGTCGCATGTCAGCGCGATAAGACTTTCGATTCTTAAGACCATCATTTATAAAAATAAATATAAGACATTCACAAATGCAAAAACTAATCTTTACTTAATAAAATTATTTAATTTTAAATTTGTATGAATTTTATTAAATCAAACTGCTGTTTTAAAAACTACTGTATTAAAAATTTTGTATATTGGCTCTGAATTTTACCAATTTGGCTTAAAAGGATAGCCCCGTTGCCTATTATTTGTACAGGGGAAGAATGTAAATGCAATTCCAAGAAATGGGAGTCCCGAAAGTTGTCAATATGCGTGGTGTGTACGCGTGTGTGAGGACCAATTAATTGTTGACAGCGCGACATCTTCGAATCCCCAACCAAACTCCCTGGTTGCAGGAAGTTTTGGGTTAAGTGTTTCCTGACACCGAAACCATTTATCACCGCCCGGCAACAAAGTTCAGAGTTCATTGATGGGGATTTCTGGGTTCTAATCAACACAATCTGCCTGATAATATTAGGAGTAATCTTCGACTGTCCTTTCATTAAAATAATTTTTTTAGAATATCCTTAAAGTATGCTTCACTTATTCCTTCCCTTTCTTTGTTTTTATGATGAGAGCTTTTCAAGCTTTTGTCAAAATTATTGTGTAAGAATGTACGTAACTTTCAGTTCCTTTTGCGTTTCGTAGGTAAAATAACTTTCAAAACTTAAAGAATAGTATACTTTTAGAGAAATACTTTTAATATAAACATTTAAATTATATATATATATATATATAATTTTAATTTATCAAGGCGCTGTATGTATGTTTAACACAACAACACATTGATGCTTTCTTATCTACAGAAATTATATGCAATTTTTTTGGGAGAACGACTCAGTATGTTTTGATATTTCAGAATGGTCGCGTCGAAATCATTGATCATTAGCATAGCATTTCTGCTGCTCATTGGGCAATCCCTGACGTCGGAGGAGTTCGATCCTAATAAAATGAGCCACTCTCCCGAGGAACCCGTACCGAAAACCTGGATAATAAGATACCAGTGGAAGCCGCATAGTACTTCAAGAAGGAGTCAATACACAACTAGAACCGGTCCAATCCGAAGCCTGGTTTACAATGGGCAGAGCAGGAAATTACCCTAACTCAGTGATGATCTACAAATGTATTATCATTAAAAATGTGTATTTATATATATTTTGACAAATGAAAATAATACAATAAAATCACATGCACCAAAAGTGTTGAGCTGTTTTTTAAATGTTGCAAAAATTGGTTTTCTACAAAATAGTTAAAGCACTCTTATCAAGTAGGGCACATCCACAAGTGATAAGTGAGCGGATATTGCCATTTCTGAGCCTTTAAAATCGCAGTACAGCAGCTTCGAAGGTCAGTCAGCTCTTGGAGTTCACCATGAACGCCCGAATCGCTTCTGTTTTATTCACGTTTGCATTGTTTTGTGTTCTGGCGGAGATTGCTGGACTTCCGACGACAGTGGATGCGCAAGATCTTAGGGAAAAGTTGGTCGACCAGGATCAGCAGTTCCAAAAATGCTGCCGCAGCCTGAGGGAGACCGATCCTCGGAGCGATTGCAAGTCCTGCGACGATCAATTGGAGCCCTTGGAGCCAGTCACGGAGAACCAGCCTGATGGCGAGAAAACCTTTGGAGTTCCCTGCCTTCGCATGACACATACAGGATGTAGAACGTCTTAACCACCATACAAGTAATAAAAGAAAAATCCAACATTAATTCTGACTCAAATCAACTTCACTTTTGTTTCTCTAATGTCAAGTAAAGAATTAAATACCATTTAAATAAAGGAACACCTTTTATTAAATCATCTGCGACTTATTCAATAAATGTTCGTAAGAATAATTTCCTTTCATTGTCTTTTTTATATTGTATAATAGTTGTTTCGCTTCAACAACTTACTCTAAAGTTAAATGTTGTTTATTTCAACCTAATAAAACTTGAATCGTGGCCTTATCTTTAACGGCTTAATTTTAAATATATGCGAACAGTCAGGTAGCTCTGTAAAGAAGTGGCCATATCCACAAACAGCTGACATTTGCTGTTGTTTAAAATGTATTAGACACAAATTGTGTAACACTAAAAAAACAAAGACAAAACTAAAAAGTTTACAAAGAGAGTCCAATTTATTTAAATTCCTGTAACAAAGGCCACAAGCGACAGTCTCCAGCGTTACCAACACCTAAATTAGTCTTAAAACTACATGGATAGTCGACGATACAAGACATCTACTGCTTCAAGGGGAATGGAGGCACCCAGCCGCCGAAAGTCCGTTCCAGCTCTTCCGCAACCGCCAGACAAAGACGATCGTTGTTGGGATTCGCAACCACCTGGATGCCCAAGGGCATGCCCTTCGAATCCAGACCCATGGGAACCTGTGTGGCCGGCAAATGAAGAACATTGAAGAGACTGAAGTAGGCGAAGTCATTGAACTTGATCAGCGGATAGAAATGGAACGGCGCCGTCCTTGGAGAACTATGGAAAAACAGGACTCCATCGTCGCCGAGCAATTCCTGAACTGCCTTCTTGCACTTTGCCGTGGCATCCCTCATCAGTTTCTCCTTTTCCTTGGGCAAAACACCATCGATCAGGCTATAAATGGCAGCCATACTGAAGTCACTTTGTCCCAGGATCTTCTTGAAGAGCTCCACAAACGGATTGACTTCGGCACCGTTTCCCAGTAACAGATTAAAGTTGGCTGGTTCTTGCGTCATCCAGTAGCGCCACATCTTGCCGGTCAAGTTTGTGTTGGGAATGTTGGCGTGTCGCACATCATTGCCACTCAGCCGCTCGAAATGTTTTCGGATCTTGTACATAACCCTTTCGGTTTCCTGGTTTATGGGATTGCACTGAGCCATGCCGTTGGATGCCACGTAGAAATAACGCAGCCGCTTCAGATCCACCTGCTCATCCAGCTTTAGCTTGCTCTTAAGCGAAGGTTCTACGAGGACCTGCATCATGGGCAATAAATCCTTGGCTGATCGACTCATCGGACCGGCACAAACCATTGTTTCCTTCTCCTTGCCGGTTCTAAAAGTGCATCCTGCCATATTTACGGCTCCGGAAGTGGGTTTGTGCCCAAAGACTCCGCAGTTGAATGCCGGTATTCGAATGGACCCGCCAATATCAGTTCCTAGACCAAAGCCCGTGCAACAGGCGGCGATCAGGGCGGCTTCTCCGCCCGATGAACCGCCCACGGAACGTCGCAGATCGTAGGGATTATTGGTGCCACCAATAAGCATGTTTCTCGACTCAATCCACTTGTTGACCTCGGGAACATTACTGGTGGCGATGATGATGGCGCCACTTTCCTTCATCAGGCGAACGCACTCGGCGTCCGTGGGCGAACGTTCCGATTTCCGGGACAGCAGACCCAGAGTATGCAGCTTTCCGGCCACTGCCGTACTGTCCTTGGTAGAGAAGGGAACGCCCAGGAAAGGCTGCCGCCGGAAGTCCTCATCGCTGTACTCCTTTTTGGACAGTCTCCGGTCGATTTCACGCGCCTGATCCAAGGCCTCTGGAAAGGGACCATCCACAACGGCGTTTAGATCGCGGTTAACACTCTCGATCCGCTCGCAATAGGCCTTGACGATGTCGTAACTCCGGATCTTGCGCTCCCGTATCTGTTGAGCCAACTCCACGGCGCTTTTGCTGAGCAGCGACTGTTGTTCCAAACTCGGTGGACCCGGAACCCGTTTTCGATCTCCCAGATACCATCCCAAAACGAACTCCAGGAAGCGATCGCTGAGGATGTGGACCAGTGCCAACAGGGCATCCAGTACGTGGCTCAACAACGTCATATTGATGATACCTTTTTCGGCTGAGATTTGCACTTTGTGCAATGCAGTACAAACTAAAACCGAGCCGAAGACCTCTGAGGTTGCGATAAACCAAAGACGTTGCCACCCGATACCAGCGAAAGCTGGCGAAGAAAGCTTTTCCGCAAACCAGTTTCCGAAACAAGTACAGTGTGCTCCAGGAAATGGAAACATATGTAAGTTTAATTATAAAAACAATGATACTTTTCACTCTTTTAAAATAAATATACATTTAAAAAATTTGCGGACTTTATTCTGATTGTTTAAATGGTTTCACTCATAAACTTTTCACAACTTATTTTTTTCGAGTCATTTAAAATGTAATTTTGCAGAATACCCCTAATCGTATGCGAATTAACCAACGCGCATGAACAGCTGAGAAAGGAGTGCCGCTAATGCGCGTGACGTACCGTGCATAGACCGCCGCACAAGCACCCACACCATCGAACTGTCAAATATCGACCCGCAGCTGCTGCAGATGTTTTTTCGTCAACAAAACAAAACAGCCGCCGCCGCCGCTGCAGAAAAAAGTGAAAAGTCGGTCAGAGAGATCCGAAATAAATATTGCAAATTGTGAATTAAATGCATTGAGAGCGGAGACCGCGTGCAGTGCGAAAAAAAAGTTATTTTAATTCCTGCCCAGGCAGCTCGTATCGAATTTTTAAAGCAGTACGTAAGACCGGTTATACGAATATCATTTACCCTGCAAAACATTCCGCAGTTCGATCACCCCGATAAAAAGCCCCATTTCTTATCAACAATAAGTGATAACTCAATGGTGAATCATTTTTTAATTGATTTTGGTAATAAGAAAGTCCTTATCTCGGTCGAATTTTGGATTAGTCGATAGCGCGACATACGTAACAAATTAGTCAGCACGCTTTCAGTACGTAATGTCGTAAATATAAATAGAAAGTTTGCGAAAATAAGTGCACTTGCCTAGTAAATATTCAAGTTTTGTTGCAATTGCAAGCGACTAGGCGGAGAAATAAACAAAACGCCATTTAAAGCCCGTGTTAAATTGCAATTACCGGTTAAAAGGCAAAATAAAGTGTTAAATGCTACCTGAAAAATTGTGGAGTGTGTGTTTGTTTGCATGGGAGCCGTCGCAACTGTTAACATCAAATGGCCCTTTCTCATTAATTTTTAATTTTAGTTGCCAGGCCACAGTTTTGACCGATTTGAACCGCTATCAGGTGGCTTTCCAAGACATTATCTTTTGCACTCTAATGGAGAGGGTGTGTGGTTTTATGGCTAAGCCAATTGTTTCTTATTCCCGCCCAGGTGTTGTTGCCTCACCTGATGAGTGACGTTGTCACAAGAAATGCTAACGTGTCGTGACACGAAAAAATTCCGCGCCGTTTTTATTTGATATGCAAATTGAGATAGGTCAGCGATCGCTTTGTAATTGTTTTTTGTTATTTGGAAGTCACCTTGACTGAAAGAAATAAGCACTAAAGCAGCAGCTAAACTATTTTTCAAATTTACTTACCCCTTTTACTGTTTTCCAACCATTTCCATTTTTTAATTCAGTTTTGTTCTTATGTTGTAAGCCTTAATAAACTTTAAATTTCGGCGTATTCTTTCACTTAAAGATAACGATCTTAAAGAGAATTGCATCCATTTTTTGAATTAGGGTATTAAAGACAATTTAGGATTCAGCTTAGATATGAAAAAAACATATTAGAGTAAACATGATGTTCACCTTTAACACGCAATGACGAGTATTCGTCTAAAGCCGCTGCTCGTTGATTACCTCCTCAACAACTTCGAATCTGTCCGATAATAAACCTTCGAGATAGCTGTACACTCAAAAAGTTATCACTTTATTTAGCCTTAAAAATAGTTTAAATTTGTATAATTGAATACATATTTAAAAAAATATTTGCTAGTTACATTTGAAAACCTAAAAGAAAATTTTAATTTTTGAGGCCTCATTTTTTAAGGGCGAGATAAACTGAGCCACTATTTTTTTCCAGTGTTAGCGATATCTCAGCAAACAGCGAGTTTATGGCAGTGTGTCTGTGTGTCATGTCTGTTAAGTGGGGCCGAATGCTTGACAGTTGATTCGTCAAATAGCACCGCACTCGACGATGTTTTCCTTTTATTTTTAGTTACCTCCGGAGATTCTTAACAGCCCCACGCACGTTGTTTTTTTCATATTCACAGGTGAAGCGCAGCGCAATGGAGCGGAATCCAGTCAAAGGAACCGGCGGAGGAGGTGACACCACTGACCAGGAAGACAAAAAGTCACGCAGCGCTGCGGAGTACATGAAAAACTTCAAGAACATAATTGCCCCGGGAAATGAGGCCTCCATGACCAGGGAGTTCAATCCGCAGGTGGCCTACGAGTTTGAGAGATATCTCAATCCCCAGAAGCTCAAGCAGCATGTCCTGAAGAGTGAGAAGCTGCGCTCCATCTTGGAACACTATGCCAGGGAACTGGGACAGCCGGTGAAGCAACTGGAGCGGCAGGCCAGGGCGATCATCGATGAAATCGGTCTGGAGCGGAACATGGCCATTATCCGGTGGTGCGGCATCGCCATCACGGCGATCGGCAAGAGGATCTGCGACGGATTCTACGTCAATTCGGCCAGCATGGCCAATGTGCGCAAGGATATGGGCAAGTGTCCTGTGCTCTACCTTCCCAGTCATCGCAGCTATATGGACTTTATCCTGATGTCGTACATCTGCTACTACTACGACATCGAGATACCAGGAATAGCAGCCGGAATGGGTAAGTTTAAAGACAATCCTGCACCAAAAAGCACAATTATCTAAAGGTCGGCAAATGAGCTTTATGATAATATAGTTTGCTTTTCATTTAGCACATTGTTGCGATATTAATATCGCTTTGCAATGTCAAAAGATTTATCGCTAATGACACGCTACATTTTAAATACGTTTGCGTTTCAATTAGTGTGAATTAGCAGAACACTTAATTAAAGGTGTTAATTTTCTACAATTATAGCAATCTCTAATAATTCAAAGAGACATATATTAACGTTTCTTAAATCTCTTGCAGATTTCCACTCAATGTTTGGCATGGGCACCATGTTAAGGAAAACTGGTGCGTTCTTTATGCGGCGCAGCTTTTCCAACGACGAGTTGTACTGGGATATTTTCCGGGAGTACATGTACGCACTGGTCGCCAATTACCACATCGGCGTGGAGTTCTTCATCGAGGGAACGCGCTCGAGGAATTTCAAAGCTCTGGTCCCAAAAATAGGACTCCTTTCGATGGCCTTGCTGCCATATTTTACTGGCGAAGTGCCGGATGTGATGATAGTGCCAGTGAGTGTGGCCTACGAAAGAGTCCTGGAGGAGCAACTGTTCGTCTACGAGCTGCTGGGAGTGCCCAAGCCCAAGGAGTCCACGAAGGGATTCTTTAAGGCGCTCAAGATCATTGACGAGCGATTTGGCAAGATGTTCCTGGACTTTGGGGATCCCATTTCGGTGAAGGAGTTCTTCGGACACGACAGTGGACAGCGGATGCAGCGAGCCGGCGTTGGCGGTCACCTCCAGAAGCTCAATCGCCAGGAGGTGGAACTGGTCAAGCAGCTGGCCAACGAGATAATCTACCAACAGCAGCGACGCATTGTGATCTCAACCTTTAATTTGCTCAGCTTATACTACGCCAGTCAATTGTATGCGCAAAAGAGTGTAAACCTCGACGAGTTGTCGCGCGGAGTGCTTCATCTGAAGCGCATTTTCGAGCAGCTTGGTGCTCATGTCAGCACTACGCCCAGTAGCATCAAATCGGATATAATCGATGCCGTGGAGATACATTCAAATATTTTGCACTTTGCTACCGGCCGACTGCAGTTCACGCCGATGGCAGCCAAGCAACTGGCGGAGCAGATCGATGTGAAGCGCCTGAAAGCCCATGCTCTGTGTCCACAAACGATGGCGGTGGCAGTTCCCATGCTGGCCCTGCAGCTCTACATCAATCCCTGCATGTTCTGGCTGGCCAGACCGGCCTATCTGCTCCTGGCAGCGCTCAAGGAGCAAAGGAATCAGGAGAAGCAGTCGACAGACGTCTCGTACGACGCCAGCTTGAGTGCCCTGCATGCCCACGTGACCAGCATGGATGCCCTGTTCCAGCACGAGTTCATTATTGAGTCGAATCGCGAGGCTGCTGAGTTTGAGACTCACCTCCAGCTGCTCCTTGACGAGGGCGTCGTGGAGGTGAAAAAGAGTGGCAGGATCCGCGTGCAGGACAACGAGTGCTCGCATGTCATACTGGCCGCACTGGCGCCATTCCTCTGCCTCTACTACCAGCTGGTGGTCACGTTAAGAAAGGTGCATAATCGAATCCTTTAAAAATTTACCAGTCTTCTAAATTTTCCTTTCTCCTTGCAGATTCCTCTGGAGTTCGAGTTCAGCAACAAGGATCTGCTGGTTCGCGTTCAACAGCATGTGGAGCAGCTGCTGCAACAACCCGGCGGCTCTGCCTCCCACGTCCACCCATATTGCTTAGCCCTGGACAATCTCAACATAGCCATCTACGCCCTGATCCAGAGGGGCTATATCCTGAAATGCAAGGACTCTGGACAGATGAAAATCGCTGGACTACCAGGAAAGTGCCTGCGGGAACTGGAATGCCAGCTCCTCGAGTACTGTCAACTAATGCCATTCGCCCAATACTCAACCGCGGCCAACCAGCAAGCCCAGTTCCACATAGCCAAGTTATAACTGGCAAACGGCAAGAGGTCGGCGACGCCGAGGGACACGGAAGCCGATCCAAACGATGAAGCCGCGTCGAGTCCCAATCAGTGTAGTACAATTGCCATTTCATTGCCCATGCAGTTCATCCAGTTTGTTGTCGGCCTGCTCAAGAATTGTCGCATCATCTGCATTCTGTTTTTCATTGTGGTGGTGGCGCCGCTTGGGCAACTGCTCCACTGGATCATCGAATCCTCCCATTCATTCACGTAGGTTTAGGGGTAAGGTTGGGATGGGTCGATTTTAATTGACTGATAATTTGTTTTCTGTTGTGTTATCGGTAAAACGTATTTTCTAATTGTACTCACTTGGTACATATTTATGATTTCGCCCAATTATTTTATTTATTTTACAAAATAAATATTGGCATATTTTGACATTCCCCATTTTAGGTTGTGATTTCGGCATTAATAAAGGTCAATAAAAGTGTTTTCCAAATATATACACTTAAACTAAGCAAGAAAGATATTAAAATATAAAACAGAGAAAGTAATCTATGTAACTATAAACTTCTTCACTAAGAAAAGCATCACTTGTCCAGCTATCTTTAAAGTAAAATCTTCAAAGAAATGTTTTTGAGATAAGATTGCCCTACAATTCCTTCACAATGAAAATCGATCCATCCTAGAGTCTGAGTGCTAAGAGTATTTTTAAGCTAAAACTGATATTTTTGTCCAGTTTGCCATATAAACAAAAGAAATTCACTAAGCCGCCAAATCACACTTACTGGAAATCGAATTTTGATTAATACATTTTTGTATAGATATACCGGTTACTGGTAGATCCCATCGAAATATATATTTCATATATTTTTAGTCGAGAAATTCAAAATGGGACAGATAAACGCACCCTTACCAAATTTTTCATAGCGCAAATTCACTTGCTACAATTAAAATATTGAATTAAGCAAGCTACAATTTTTATTAATTTAAGTTTGGGAGAATTTTTAGTTCCCAGAGTATTTTTTAAGATCATATTAATCCACCCAATTCACACTACTTACATCGGTTTGTTCATTTTGTGATGGATGCATTTTTAAAATTTGTAGGATGTTTTTGAAACGTTTTTGTTAATCTAGGCTGGTGTTAAGTTTGTTTAATTTTTTTATTTTAAGTTAAAATCGCTCTGGATTGTTTGTAGTTATTCTACTGTGCCAATACACAAGTCAAAACCACACAAAAAACATAAAGGCAACCTGCTGGACTTGCCTCTTAGAAACATAAAACACGGTTGATTCGAAACCTGATTCCAAGTTGGGTTCAGGTCCGATTATTCCTACAGGAATCCACAGCACAAAGTGTCTGAAAAGTGCAATACAAATATTCTGTTTAATAATATTTTTAGACATCGTTTCGTTTTATTTTTGTGGTAGATAACTTTATATTTATATAGAATTTAAATCGAAAAACAACACCAATCCTAACTACACCCGCTAGTAACTAAACCAACAAAAAAGCAGAGCAATAATAAACAATTTAGTCGGTGCCAGTTGCGCCCCAGAAACTTGATAAATGTGACTTTAAATTCAAGATATGTGGTCATCGGCAGAACTGTCGCTTGAACTGGTCCAAGGTACGTTGGCTAATGACCACGTGCATCATTAGACGCTCCGGATTATTCTCATCCGCTGTGGTTTCCACTACGGCTGCGTTTTTATAAAGCCATGCCATTTCAGGTCCGCCGCTGGGCACTCGCATCTGAAGTTTTCTTCGCCCGGTGGCGGTCAGTATCTGCTGCTCAATGTCGTCTAGAAGTGGTTCTAATCCTGTTTGGGCTCGGGCTGATATACGATGCACGGGATCAGCAGATGATTGCGCCTCGGATGGTACCAGATCACATTTGTTGTATACATTAATGATGGGTGGCAATTGACTTGCTGTGGAATCTCCACCCGCCACATTGAAGGCTAAAGATCGAAGCGTGGCTTCCACATGGCTGCGTTGTGCGGCATGGCATGGATGAGAGAGATCCTGGACGTGCACTATTACATCCTGGGAACGAAAAACATGGTTAGTCTTAAGAAAAACTAGTCCAAAATCTATTTTTTCTCACCGCCAACATGGCATCCTCCAAAGTAGCCACGAAACACTCGAATAGTCCTGTTGGCAAATCAGACATGAAGCCCACGGTGTCCATGTAAATCACTTGAAGATTGCAGGGCAAACAACCCGCATGGGCCGTAACATCGAGGGTAGCAAACAACTGATTCCTGGGCTGCAGGGCATCCTCCACAGTTAAAGCCTTGATTAAGGAGGTCTTGCCAGCATTGGTGTAGCCCACCACAGCCACAATGGGATAGTTTTGTTGCTTCCGTTTCTGTCGGAGCAGCTGCCTCTGCCGGCGCACTCTATCTAGTTCCGCTCGCAATTTGCGCTCCCTGGTGCGCAAGATCTCTTTCTGCAGATCTGTCAATGCATATCCCTGGCGCCGCGTCTGTGTGACACTGGCATCCTTGGCCTGGGCCCAAATGTAAGGCAGCTCAGCCATGGCCACCTAACCAGTATTTAATTAGTGATAGAATTTATATTTTGTATTCCCTTAAATACGGACCTGTAGCTTTGCTTCGGCACTAGTGGCATGTAGCCTTAGAATCTGTATAACCACTGAGTAGCGATCCATTACCGGCAATCGAAACTCAGCCTCTAGAAAGCGTTTTTGGGCGAAGGAAAGCGTGCCCTTGCTCACAAACAGGCAGGTGAGCTGCCGTTCTTGACGCAATTCGGTGACCAGCTCCTTGAGTTCCAACAGCTTTCCGCTGCCAAAGAGGGTCTTTTTCTCGAGACTTTCCAAGGGAACTTTGAGTGCCTTGGCCACCTGCCAGTTGGGCAAGGAGTGAATCAGAGCTGAGGCCTCCGAGAGCTGATCCTCTGGCCTAACATCGATGGACGTGTTTTGGCGCTTAGCAGCCCACTTTACATAAGGTTGGAGAATGAGCACTTGCTGGGAGCTGGCTATGTCGCGGGTAATTCGCATGGCTCCACCTGCCACCTCATCATAGGCACTGAAATAAACGGTAAGATATAAAATATTGATATTTAAATCTTTTTCTTGTTTTACCTACCGGTCATCCAGAAATCGCATGTCTGCCAAATCCCCATTGGATGACCTCTCTTCCTGATTCAAGTCGTCGTCTCCTTCGCTTCTTTGACCAGCCTGCATCTGGGCCTCAAAGAAGCTCTTTCTGTTGCGGATGCCCTTAACTCCTTGGTGTTGGTTGTACTTGCAGCGTACGGGAATCCTTACAACCGAATGGAGAGTAAGACTCCTGGCCAAACGGCCCAGTATCCGTATACCGGACATAACTTAGCCTAGGAAATGGTTAATGAATACAGCTAATAAGATTCCTCGTGCAGCACGGAATGCTTCTCCTCAAAAGCCATCCACGCCGCTTGACAGGATTTTGTCCTCGAGGAAGTCGTTTGATAAGAAACTCCAGTGGCCACCAGAGAGGCAATCAATATATTAAACTTTGCAGGATAACGAATGCGGGATTGTATGATCTTCTGGGCGAAATACGTGCCGGAAAAACCTGTAATATGTGTAATTATTATGCAATTGCCGCAAAACAAAAGGAAAGAACATACTCAAACAAAATGTTGCGAGACCTGTGAAAAGGGAGCGGGTCATGCAGTCGATGTAACCATCGAATCCTGGATGCTTCTCGCGCTGTTGGTCCTTCAAACGCTTGATATCGTTCATAATAAACGCTTAGTAAAGTAGTTAGATTGTTATTCTCATTCGTTTTTTGCCGGCACGCGATTGAACAGCTGTTGGCTAGAGAAGAGCAAACTCTAAACAATAACATCGGCATGCCAAGCATTTATGTAAAAAAACAATTTAAACCCCGTAATACAAATAGCTTTATTTATGATCACAAACATAAGATTATAAGGAAATTGTTTTGGATTTCCTGCGCTTCGCCCAATCCCAAAATAATTTTTTTTGATATTTCTAATTTGAGTATGGGTAATCAGTGCTATCGATAACTCGCCCCCGATTACTGCACAGTTTCCCCGGTTAGGCGACAACCCTGCAATAGTTTAGTATACCCAATTGCGGCGGCTTTACGCAGAAAAATAACAATTAAAAGATTGCGAAAAGGAGTTTAAAACGAGTGGCAGGACGCAATGAAGCGCCCACACAGCCAGTAGCAGGTGAAAATACTTCAGGGTTAAGATTTAATAGTCAATTTGAGCCCGAAGTGAAGGGATTTTTCGATAAATAATAGATGTTCAAGTAGTGCCGACGCCACACATAAAAAAAGAAGCAGACGCAAATTGCAAAAAAAGGCGAAGAGAGTGGAAAGAGGAGGAACGATAGAGTGAAAGAAGAAGAAGAGGCAAAGCGAAGAACGCGCGGCAAATGCTGACAATAAAAACTAGAAAGAAAAAAAAGCTAACTTTTTGCAGGGTGAATAAACCAGTAACGCCATCAAATCGCATTTCTTGCAGATCTTTGAAGTGCTGGGCGGACAAACAGCCGGTTACCTATGGGAAAGAAAAACCCCAACGCCCGACACACAGATGCCGCAACACCTTTGACCACAGACGACTCCAACTTGTCATCCGAATTAAAATCGGAAGCCGATACTGAATCCAGTGAGCCAACAAACAAGCAGTCGAAACCTCACGAAGATGTCAAGGCATCGTCCAAGAAAAACAGGACCAACAGCCCCAGCGATTCCGATACGGCAGTAGGCAGCAGTCCGCCAAACGAGGAGGAGGAACCTGTCTGCAAAATTCGCATTGTGCCGCTGGAAAAGCTGCTGGCCAGTCCTAAAACCAAGGAGAAGCCATCTCGCAGGAGTCTTCAAAGTACCGTTACCACTATAGATTCCAGCGATAGCGAGGAGCCTCCAAAAACCAAAAGATCTGTGTTGCCCGCTCGCAAAAGCCGCAACAAGAACGCTTCGATCATAGAACTTAGCGACAGCGAGGAGGAAGAGGACGAGGCGCCTCTTTGTTTGCCTAATCCTTTGCACAAAAAGGCGGAGGCAACCAAGAAAGCCATTAATAACCACCTAAATAATCTACAAAAAGCCAGCACATCCAGCCGGTCACTTAAAGAGGCCACCAGAAACGGGAACGGCAGGCGACGGGAATCTCTGAGCAGCGATAAATCCTCTAAAGCCAGCTCATCACGAGCAGCAACACCGCCGAAACCCAAACGCTGTGTGGTGCGCTTGAAGCGTGTCAGTCTGACAGTCAAGCCAAAGCCCGCCCAGAAGCCGAAGAAAATGAGCACGGACTCGGAGGAGGCGGCTACAACCTCGAAGAAGGGCAGACAGCGGCAATCCAAAAGCGAAAGCGAGGCGGACTCGGACTATGAAGCTCAAGCCGCTGAGGAAGAGGAAAGAAAGTCCTCCGAGGATGAGGCAGAGGAGGAGGCGGCCAACAGCAGTGATAGCGAGGTGATGCCGCAGCGCAAGCGACGCCGAAAGAAGAGCGACTCCGACAAAGGTTCCTCCGACTTTGAGCCGGAGGAGAAGGGAAAGAAAAAGCGCAAGCGGATCAAAAAGAACTCCAGCGGCGAGAGCGATGGCGACGACGATAAGCAGAAGAACAAGCGCAAGCACATACGCAAGATCATTAAAACCAAGGACTTGGATCTGACGACCAAGGAGGCGGCCAAAGAGGAGGACGACCGAAGAAAGCGGATCGAGGATCGCCAAAAGCTCTACAACCGCATCTTTGTGAAGTCCGAGAGCGTGGAGATTAACGAGCTGGTGCTAGACTTCGACGAGGATTCCAAAAAGGCCCTGCTGCAGGTGGACAAGGGACTGCTAAAGAAGCTTAAGCCGCATCAGGTGGCGGGCGTGAAGTTCATGTGGGACGCCTGCTTTGAGACGCTCAAGGAGAGCCAGGAGAAGCCCGGCTCGGGCTGCATCCTGGCCCACTGTATGGGCCTGGGCAAAACCCTACAGGTAGTCACTCTGTCGCACACGCTGCTGATCAACACAAGGCGCACTGGAGTGGACCGCGTCCTGGTCATTTCGCCCCTGAGCACAGTGAACAACTGGGCGCGGGAGTTCACCAGCTGGATGAAGTTTGCCAACCGCAACGACATCGAGGTGTACGATATCTCACGCTACAAGGACAAGCCGACGCGCATCTTTAAGCTCAACGAATGGTTTAACGAAGGCGGCGTCTGCATCCTCGGCTACGACATGTACCGCATTCTGGCCAACGAGAAGGCCAAAGGGCTGCGCAAGAAACAGCGCGAGCAGCTCATGCAGGCCCTGGTCGATCCCGGTCCGGATTTGGTCGTCTGCGACGAGGGACACCTGCTCAAGAACGAGAAGACCTCCATCAGCAAGGCGGTCACCAGGATGCGCACCAAGCGCCGGATTGTCCTCACCGGCACCCCCCTTCAAAATAATCTCAGAGAATGTAAGTTGTGGGTCTCTTCTATGGATCCATGGGTTTAAGTTACATTACACTGGCCAAATGATAATTTATGTTAAGTTTTAGAACAAAATTAATGTGTATCTTTTACCATACTTAGATTACTGCATGATTCAGTTTGTCAAGCCGAATCTGTTGGGAACGTACAAGGAGTATATGAACCGCTTCGTCAACCCGATCACCAACGGTCAGTACACGGACTCCACGGATCGGGATCTGCGTCTGATGAAGCACCGCTCGCACATTCTGCACAAATTGCTCGAGGGCTGCATCCAGCGGCGGGACTACTCGGTTCTGGCGCCCTACCTGCCGCCGAAACATGAGTACGTGGTCTACACGACGCTGTCGGAGCTGCAGCAGAAGCTCTATGGCTACTACATGACCACCCACCGGGAGCAGTCCGGCTCGGATGTGTGCGGCAAGGGGGCCCGACTGTTCCAGGACTTTCAGGACTTGCGGCGCATCTGGACGCATCCGATGAACCTGCGGGTGAATAGTGACAACGTGATTGCCAAACGACTGCTCAGCAACGATGACTCCGATATGGAGGGCTTCATCTGCGACGAGACCGACGAGGAGGAGGCTGCCTCCAACTCCTCGGACAGCTGCGACTCCTTCAAGTCGGACGCCAGTATGTCGGGACTGGCAGCCGCATCGGGAAAGGTGAAAAAGCGCAAGACCCGTAATGGCACCGCTGCCGGCAACGACAGCGATTCAGATCTGGAGCTGCTGGGCGGTCTAAGTGGTGGACCCAGTGTCCAGAAGGACGATCCTTCGGAGTGGTGGAAGCCCTTCGTCGAGGAGCGAGAGCTGAACAACGTGCACCATTCCCCCAAGTTGCTTATTCTTTTGCGGCTGCTGCAGCAGTGCGAGGCCATTGGTGACAAGCTGCTCGTCTTCTCGCAATCCTTGCAGTCCCTGGATGTCATCGAGCACTTCCTGTCATTGGTGGACAGCAACACTAAAAACTACGAGTTCGAAGGTGGGTTGGCTGGCACATTTAATCTTAATCATCAAAGCATTTAACATTTAAATAATTATTTGCTACCCAGGCGATGTTGGCGACTTCAAGGGCTGCTGGACGAACGGCAAGGACTATTTCCGATTGGATGGCAGCTGCAGCGTGGAGCAGCGCGAGGCGATGTGCAAGCAGTTCAACAACGTGACCAATCTGCGCGCCCGCCTGTTTCTTATCTCCACACGGGCCGGTGGCCTGGGCATCAATCTGGTGGCGGCCAACCGCGTGGTCATCTTCGATGTCTCCTGGAATCCCTCGCACGATACGCAAAGTATATTCCGTGTGTACCGCTTTGGGCAGATTAAGCCGTGCTACATCTACCGCCTGATTGCCATGGGCACCATGGAGCAGAAGGTTTACGAGCGCCAGGTGGCCAAGCAGGCCACTGCAAAGCGTGTGATCGATGAGCAGCAGATCTCGCGCCACTACAACCAGACGGACCTTATGGAGTTGTACTCCTACGAGCTGACACCCAGCAGCGAGCGGGAGATGCCCATCCTGCCAAAGGATCGACTTTTCGCCGAGATTCTCACTGAGCACGACAAGCTGATCTTCAAGTACCACGAGCACGATTCGCTGCTGGAGCAGGAGGAGCACGAGAATCTGTCCGAGGAGGAGCGGAAGTCGGCTTGGGCTGAATACGAGGCGGAGAAGACGCGAACGGTACAGGCCTCACAGTACATGAGCTACGACAGGAACGCCTTTGGCAACCAGGTGATGGGACAGTTCGGCAACGCCTCAGGCAGCGTGACCTCCAACAAGATCTTCGGCTTCCGGTCGGACATTCTGCTGCAGCTGCTGAACATGAAGATCTGCAAGGACCATCAGGAGCTCAATCAGAACCAGGTCATTCAGCTGGTGCCCACCTATCTGCAGCAGCTGTACAACGAGATGAACAACAGCGATCCGACCATGTACAAGGAACTACTAAGCCTGCACGCGAACATTGTCCATCCCAGCGGGATGTATATGAATCCGCTGCTCTATGCCAACCAGAATCCCAACGCGGCTGGCTACAATCAGGGCAGCGGCGGTCCGATGGGGGCGGCTGGATCGACGGCCCACGGGCCGAATTCTGCACCTGCTCCGGGTTTCGAACCGGACAAGGTATACGAGATCGACTAAGATACCCGAATCGAACCAATGCATGGTGACACTCTTTAATTTAAACGTAGGTAATTCGTCGACCTTGTCGATATTTCCTTTGGACTAAAGTTACAAAGATGGTTTATCCTATTCTAATTACCATTACCAACTACCCATAACCGAGCGCATAAGATTATACTTTCTATCAACTCAGTTAAGTTCAAAACTGTCCTAATTAATGTGTAGACTTAAATTAGATGCAAGCAAAAACCAATTACATAAAGCGTATGATTTAAACACATATTTACACAATATAGACCATGGCTATATACATACATAATGCTAATCCGGCTAGGAGACGCAGGAAATTAATTAACACGCGGCAAGATAACAAAAATAAATGGCACAGATATTATGAATAAATGCGTAACAATTTTCTCCTCAACTTTTCGATGTTTCACAGAAATGGGCGGATAATGATTTAGACGAAAAACACAAGAAAAAACAATAAAGATAGGAAATGAAGTAAAAATTTCAAGGATACATAATCAGTTTATTTAACTACACGAGAGATACACGTAGACTAAATCAAATCTATACAAAATTACAAACTAAAACGAATCTTTTCCCGCTTATTTTGGCGGCAGCTTTCCCATCATTCGCAGTTGCTGCATCTGCTGAGCCTGCAGCATGTGCTGTGGACTGGGTTGCATGGGTCCACCGGGCTGCATAGCTCCTGGTGGAATCCCTGGCATCATTCCCGGACGCGGGGGTACTCCACCCATGGGTGACATTCCGCCTCCAGGACCTTGCAGCATTCCGGCTCCGATGGGCGGCGTCGGGCGACTGTGGACACCCTGCTGGATGTCCGAGAGGCAGGCCTTCCACTCTTCCAGGCGGTTGTAGTGCTTCTGCAGCAGCGCTTCCTTGCGCTGAATCTCGATGCTCAGGTCCTGGTTCTCGTCCTTGATCAGCATGTAGGGCTTTAGGGTGGAGACGAGGAAACGCTTCTGCAGGAAGAATGCCTCCATTTGACGGGCCACGTCGATGAAGCGATTGGTTGTCTTCTGGACCTCCAGCTCAATCTCCTCCTTGTTCGTTCCGGAATTCGGCTCCTGTTTGGTCAGGGACAGCAGGCAGGACTGAAAGGCCTCCTCGAACTCGTCCATCAGGTTTCCGCCACCGGGCTCGTTGCTGGTCATGACTTCGTGCGATTTGGAGCCGAATAAACAATTATCTATAAACAATTTAGCCGGCCAGCGGAAAAAAGCAAAGCAAAAGAATACGCCAAGAAGGGTTGCCAAGCCTCGCAATCGGTGTTTTTATAGAGATGACAATGTAAATTGTGGTATTTTCAATATATATCGATAACATGAGATATCGCTGTTGTACCTTTGCTTGCTTGCATGCGGCTGTTTATGTAAACAAAGGATTTTAAATCAAATGACTTCTTGTCCAAAGAAATGACTGCCCGAATAATCCAACGAAGCCTGCACACGGCTCGCTCCTGCCTGCTGGCCAGAGTTCCACGTCGGGCTAATCCTGGTCTGGGCTACCAGATGCAGCAACTACAGGAGCACCCGGCGAGGACCACCGAAGCTAGCGAGGATTACGCCGATCTGGAGTCTGACTTCATGGACGTCCAGAAAACCCATCGGCAGTATGAGAGGGAGCAACAGCAGCAGCGCGATCGCATCCGTCAGTTTATGATCAAGCACAAGTATTTTCGGGATGCCAAATTACCGAATCTTCTGCTCCATGCGGAAAAGGAGCAGATACGCTTGCTCCACGAGCGAGATCCCGAGGAGTGGAGCGTGGAACGACTAGCGGAGAGTTTTCCCGCCACTCCAGAAATTGTGCAGAAAATTCTTCGCGCCAAATGGCGTCCAAGAAGCGTGCAAAGGATCCGTTCCCACGATAAAACCGTCGTCAACAATTGGCAGCTACTCAAGACAGGAAAAGATGACTTCAATCTACCAACCGCCTTGCTGCAGCACCTCCAGAAATTTGCCGATCGAAAGCGACAGGATCTGAGGGAATTAAAAATTGAAGATTGGCCCACAAGACCGAAACTACCCGCTCCTCAAGGAAATGAGTTTAGAAAGCTGCTGGGAAGCAGTAAAACAGTCCAGGAGGAGGTCCCTCCACCACAAATACCTTCTGGTTATGAACCACCACCCTCCGCTGCCGAAGATGAAACATATCTGTTGGATAAAATCCGAAATAAAAAGAATATGCGCCTTCAGGAGCTCAAGGACCTAAAGCTGGTAGAGTCTGTAGATAAAGTTCCTGAGGAACTGCAACGTCCTATTGAGAATCCCAGCGGAACGGGATTTCTTCCCAGTTTCGTGCGCAAGTTTGAGAGCAGCGAAATTGTAATCAGTGCAGCGGACCAGCGGAAGTACGAGATAACCCAGGTGAAAACCCGCATTGTTATTCCTCGAAAATTGCATCGCGAGGGAGCCACATATCGTGTGGAGGACGCCTATTACGACGATGACGGGGAGCTTCTCTACCGCGTTCCCGGAATGACCGGAAAAAGCCAATTTTAAGCTAATAAAATTCTAGATTGTCAAGATCACAAGATGTTATTATATAAAAATATATAAATCATTCGATATACAGATTCTTATTCATTGTCAGTGGTTGAAGGCGGTGGCGATTAAATCGGTGCCAGACATTAGAGAATCTGATGCCACGGTTATTTGGGCGCCCGTGAGCTTGGCCACAAAATCGCAAGCGGCGATCTCCGCATAACTGGCGCCGCCCACAACAAAAACAAAGAGATTCTTCAAGCGCAACGGGAAAACATCTTGATCGCCGCTTCCGTTCACCTTCAGGTGGCTCGCATACGCCTTTGGTGTCATTTTTCCGCTGTCCAGATGCAGATGAATTCCTTCAACCATGGCTAACTTCGAAGATAACTCCTCAGCACTGTTCGTTTTCAACAAAATCGAGCAGAGCTGAGCAACCAAAGGTATGTAGGTGCCATTAAAGACGAAACTAGGACAGGATTGCAAGGCTCCCGATTGGTTTTTCGAGGAGGAACCACCATCCTGTCCATCTCCGCAGGACGTAAGTAGTTTCAGCCGGTTGGCATTGGCCTGGAACTCAGTTTGTTGGAACTTTGGGAGGGGTAAATTCGAGAGCAGCTTAGTTGGCGCCTTCTTCTCCACCACAAGTGGTGGCAAAAGTCCTGCCTGCGACAATTGTTGGAACACACCCAACTCCTGATGGCCAAAAAGATTGCAGTAGTTTCTCGCGAAGATCTGCAGCTCCTCAGGCGCCACGCCCGCACAATGATGCAAAAGGCACATCAATCGCAGGGTATTATATCTCTGACCATCGGTGGTCATGAGCTCATCAATCTCGCCCAGCAATCGTTTTCTTGAGTCATTGTTCAGTATGTCCTCCTCCAGGGTTTGCAGCCTCCTAAAGTTACCCATCATCTGGATCACAATTTCGCTGGCGTTCAGATGCCGTAGGACCTTGGCCTTTAGCTCCGTTAGTTTCGGCAGCTTCCTGGCCACATAGTCGTGCATCTCCTCCAGCTTCATGTCATTTAGCTTTTGGAGTTCCAAGCCCAGAGCTTTAACTTGTGCGTGAATCAAACTGCTGACCTGGGCAAAGCGTTTGTAGCGGTTATCCCCATAAATCTCATCGGAGGTGGAGTTCAGGCGAATGGAGCAGGGTTTGCTGGTTGAACTTAGACCTCCCTTGGATTTTTTTCCCTGCAATAACTCCACACGCTGGCTGCTGATCTTGTTCTTTGAGTTGTCTACCAAGATCTCGCCGGAGCGCTGCTCGAAAACCTCCAAAAGAAGACCAGCATAAATTGCCGGCGTTAGCAAACTGGCGGGGTAATCCTTGTCCCGGTCGATAATCAGCCAACCGCCGAAGTCCGGAGGGTTTGTGGATTTCGGGAGCTGGCCCAGAGCCTTCAACATTTGCAGCAATTGGGAAGAGTGGTTGCCAAAGCTCATAATCAAAGAAGGTTGTCCGCAAATCATCTGAAGCAACCGTAGGCTTTGTGCCACAGAAGGCAAAGGAGATGTGTTTCCGTGAAGGTAAAGGCAATCGTAGAGCTGTGCATAAGAAAGATCATCTATCAACCACTGCTTTTAAATAATATACTGCAATATACCCACATTAGGTAGCTCCAAACTTAGCACTCCTTGGTCAAAGTAAATGAAATCCCAGTTGAAGTGATGCAGTTGCACGAGTCCCCAAAGTCCGGCTTGTTCCAAAAGAGTTTGGAAGTAGGAATAGCAACTGGGCACACAAACTATGTGATACATTTTCAGGGATACGTCCGGCATCTCCTCCAAGGCCACGGGTTGCAGTTGTTTAAGTAATTTCTGAAATGTCCCAAGGACACTTCGAATCATATAAATGTGCACCTGGTCCGTAGACCGGGGTAAAGATTGCGCCGCGTCATGTTTGTAGATCCTTTGAATGCCCTTTAGCCTGAGAGGGATACAGAATTAATCGTATGTATCATTAAAATCTTTAAGCCCTTACTTTAACCAAGAGGCAGTGCAAACATGTTCCAGCGGCTTGATCAAATCCGGCTCCAAAATTAACTCCTTTTTTCCTGGTATGGAACATAGTATGGAGCAAAGCTGCAGTGGATTTACATATTGTTATTATTTGTACTATTCCTGGCATATTTTTACCTTTTCCTGGGCCACCAACTGAAATCCCTGCAGTTTTTTGTCCAGCGTCAAATCCATTTCTGTGATAAACAACCAAAACAGCTGATTTTGCAAGGTGGGTAAATATGTGGTGGTAAAGAGAAGAACCGCTACGGTGGTTGTAGGTAAATCTTTTCATATCAAATTTAATAACATACACAATAAAATAACAAGATAATATACTATTTTGTAAATCCATTTAAAAATTCTATCTTAAGATAACAAAGTAAATGTGCTTCTTCTCTAGGGCAGCTCGGAAAATTTTATCGCCACCCAGTGGGATGAGAGAGAAAAATTATACATCAATAATAGCGTGCCTTATGTGCCACATATGTTTTAGTGAATACTATTTATATAGCTAACACTTTTGAATGAGCGGAGTGTTGGTATTTTAATATTAAAAACACTGAATCTAAATGGTGCCCACTGTGCGCTGCTGTGTCGCTCACGAGCTAACGAACTGGTTCATCACCTCTAGGCGTTCGGGCTTAGTCCGTTAACGATTAGGTCGCTCACTGGAGTCTCTTAACGATCGGGTGGCTCTCTCAGGTTTTCTCTGAGAATTTACAAATTTAGGAAAACGTTGTCCTCGTCACCCGTTTGGAAAAACATTGTCCTTTGTTGACCCTTTTACAAAAACGTTATCCAATTTAAAGTTGCTGTAAGCCAGGTTAAAAAGCGCCTCTGGCGGACGAGTTTGACTGAGATTCAAAGATAAGAACCACTGGTACAGTGACTGACTAAGGCCATTTGAAGCCCCATGTATCGTATAAGGGTTAAGCCACAAACTCTATTGCTGTTTCTTTCGCGCCTACGAGAAAACACCCTGAAGAAGCCGACGAGACAACCTTTTCTGTCATGACTCTACCGTGCCGCTGCCAAAGTAAAACAGTTTCGTTCAAAATTTCGAATCGAGAGATTGTCGGGAGGGTATAGCGCGCGGCCAGTTCGCATTTATGTGTTTTTATCGTGATTCTGTCAACCGAAATCATATGTTTTTAGCCAGCAGAGAGATTGCCAGAACAGCAGCAGAACGGGCGCAGTTCTACGGCAGAAAATGAAAATTTATTGAACGCACAGCACACACAGTGATTTAAGCGAATTAAAATAAATCAAAATATGGTTTGCCATTCGAGTTCCGTGGAATAAAGTTGTGAAAAAACCAGAAAACAAAATTGTTATCGCTCTCTCCGCCTCTCTGTGCGATTTGCTCTTCGTGTTTATGTCTCAGCTGTGCAAGTGTGTGTGCGGCAGTGTGTGTGCGAGTGTGTGTGACGTGCGTGCGTGCAAGTGTTTGTGATTTCATGTTGTTGTTTTGGCTGCTTTCGCGTGAAATTCAACAACAACATTCAGCAACAGCCAACAAAATTTTAATTGAGATTTCCATTTAATCTAAAGGTGCAGGTGCCTATATTCCAGTTATCAGGTGAGTTTGAATTTTCTTTGTTTGTAAGTAAATTGCCTTTGCAAATGTGGGTGAAATTCGTGCGAAAATAAATCAGAAAATAACTCGAATAGTTGATCTAATGACAAAAATAACCGAGCGGTATTTGTTGTTGTTGTTTTTTTGTTATTGCAGCTTGTTGCATGTTCTTGGCTTTCCTTTTGCTTCTCAGATTCGTCTCTTTTTTACCGCTCTCTCTCGCTCTCTCTGGTTGCAGTTTTACATTTTTGCCTTTGTCAATCATTATCTCTGCTCTAAGTGTTGTTGCTTTCGTTTTTTCTGTTTTTGTTTTTATGCCTAACATATTTTCTTATAGTCCGTGTGTCTTCTTCGCGTTTTCTTTGCGGTTCGTTTGTTTGTGATACCGGTTTTAGCAGCCGTCTTGCTCTGGCACGTTGCACAGGTTGCTGTGCACATAGTTTACTTTTAGATTTTCTATTCTTTGCGCTCCTGTGCGTTTTAATCGCGTCTTCTACTTCGTGCTCATCTTCCTAATGCCTGATTGTTGTTGCCCCTCCCAGTTATGGTTTATTTGTTGTTTTTCCCTCTCTCCCATTAAAAGTTAATTTTTGTTGGATTCATAAAATTTATTGGGTTCGAGCGGCCTTTGAAATCGGCATATCATTTAAAAGTTGTTTTTTTCGCAAAGGCTATTCAACTTTTGCTAATGGCCTTCTTTAGGATCTTAAAAGGTTTTTGTTTAAATAAGTATCTTTTCAAAACTCGCTTTTTTCACATTAATATTTTGCTAGTAACGTCTGTAACGCTAATATTAGCATTAAATTTCGCACACATTTCCAAAATCATAAGATTGCACTCTCCAACAAATAAAACAAAAAATCATTAATGATTTTTACCGATCTTAATAAAATGTAAATATGTATGTATATCGCTTTTAGAAGCACAATTTATCAAACCGAGTAAATCCCATTTTCCTTTTAATTTTTTAAATAATTTTCGAAGAGCATTTATTTATAACGGGAATATGTACATACCTAGCGTAAAGAAGGAATAAAGAGTGAATCATGAAGAAAACGTGAGCAATTTATAGGAATTACTATAGCTTCCGTTTATACTTAGTGAAACCAAGACAATTTTTTGTAGTGTTATTTTTCTGATTTCCTCCTGTAAAAAAAATGTAAACACTTTACCAACATTTAAACATTCCTTGCTTTACCAAATTCAACAAATCTACAGATTAGCTAATCTTTATTCGATAGGGCTATACATTGCTTCAACTAGAAATAAATTGCATTATTGTCTGCTTTATTAAACATTTAAATATGGAAAGGAGCAATCATGAGAAGTGAGAAATACCACCAAGTTTATGAAGGCCGTCGGGGTTTTGCAATATGATTTCTCATCCAAAATGTGCTTCAATAAAAACAATTATGTATAACCAGCAAAGCAAAACGAAATAATTCATTTGCATTTAAGTAAATATACAACACCCTGCACGAAGGTGATTCTAATCACACCCCCATAAATTCTCCTGCAAAAGTTTAGCACTAATTAAAACCAAAAACAAATTACACATCAAGAGAAAAGAAGGAAAATAAACTTGAAGAGAGACAAGAATTTGTGTAAACAGAAATGATTTGAAAAGAAAACAAAAAGCATTTTTGCAACGTTATTTTCCAACTCTCCCCAAAAGCATTCTCGTTTTTGTTCTTTGTGTGGAGGCGTGTGAATTTTTTGTCGGCTTGATGTCTGTTTTTGCTCTGCTCATTTCTACGCCACATATCAAACCCAATTAGTATTGTTCTTCTGTTGGCATATGGCAAATATTTCCATTCGTCTGTTTGTATACATATAAATTGCTTTGTATTAGCTTCGAAGCTTTTTTTGTGATCCTGTGTTTGGAGTCTTTGGGTAATGTGTTTTGAGGTGAATGTTTTCCCATACTCGCGGCTCTATTTTTAGACAACTTTTGGCACATTTTTTCTTTACAGCCACATGTGTTAAATACTGCATTTTCAATTTACTTCCCTTTGTTAAAAAAAAATCGTCCTTGTATGATTTATTTATTATTATTTTTTTTTTTTTTGCTAAATCATGTAATGTAATGTAAATATGATTTGAACATATCGTGTTATTTCTATTTCATTAGGTAAAGTATTTTGGGTACAGTAAAATGAAACTTACAAAACCGAGAATTTCATTTTGGCAGACTCATCAAAAAACCCGCAAACAATCGCGGCATGTCGCACTCATGCGTTTCTTCCCATTAGGGTGACTCACTCGAAAACATGACAAGTAACAATTGAAGAAAGACTCCGCCGCTTGTTCATTCTTCAGCATTCTTCGCTCTTCAGTTTTCATCATTTTTAGGGCGGGAGCACTGAGCCATGTTTGTTTTTCTTTTGCCGAGGAATGAGAATGGCGAAAGTGAACCCCCTTGGGATATGAAATATAGAATCTGGGATGGATGACTGGGGCTCACCGACTGACGTACAAAAAGTGTGTGCTCGCGGGTGTGTTTGCCTGCCTTGAGCAAAGTATTTTGGCGCGTGTCCAAGTAGAAACAAAGAAAAGCAGAGAGAGAGGTGCGGCAGATATAGCGAATAAATCAGCAAATGGTTATTTTGCCACTATGTCTGTGTATCGGAGCATGACCAGGCCTACAAAACTAACCAAGAAACGAGAGAGGGACAGAGCGGCTATGACTTAACGCTCCAGATGAAATAATTTACAATTCATTCTCTTGAAAACAAGAGTATTTTAAGAAATTTCATTTGGCTAACACACAACAAAGTTCGAAATTGATTGAAAGGTTATTATTCCACCAACAAGCAACTGATTTTACTCAATATATATATTTTAAAACATTCTGCAATCTGCCAAACTTTTGAAATAAATTTGTTTGTTTATCTTTAAAAAATGTTTTTTTTTAAATCATGAAAATTATGCTTTAGCCTATTTTTAGAATAATCTAAACACACACATCGATAAACAACATTGGTCCTTGGCCATTGCAATTTTTCGACTTTGGCTGTTAAGAAATTGCTAATTTAATTGGAAATTCTGGGAAAAATTTATGCAAAGCAGCTAGTCAGCCGTTAGGTTACCTTGTTTCGACACGGCCAATTCATTTGGACAACCCACTAAACATTTCACACCAGCGGCTTTCACAAGTCCGGGGTTTTCACATCTTCGTATCAGCCGCGGCCTAGCCGGAAAATAACGACACTCGAACGAAGAAAAAATCGGATTTCTTTCTGGTCGTGCAATCTCGAGTTTAGTTCCCTCGAATTTCTCACCTTTCTCAGCAATTTGAGCGGGGGCCAACGTGCCACGCATAGCTGAAAAGCGGAAAAGCGTTTGACGCGACTCCGTTTCTGTATTTTTCCTCAATTTTTCTCACTCCCCGTCCTTTGTTTATTGAGTTCAGTTTAAATTTCCCGCGATGTCGCCGGCCAAAAAAAAAGGAAAAGAAAACCAAACAAAAAACGGAACCGACTAGTTTAAGTTAGCTCTCTTAGAAAGTGCCGACATAGAAAACCAGTGCTGTCTGAATTTTAGCACTAAAAAAATATGTGATATTTAAAATACTATATTGAATAATACGTATTTTCGTTGTTCTATTAATTTTTGTAAACCACTTTGGTTTTGTAAGTAAAAAACACTGAAAATGACAGCACTTTTTCAGACTATTGGTAGATGAGCGAATAAAAGAAACAGGCGAAGAAGAACTCAAAGGCCAGGCTTAAGCAATTGAAACGAACTGAACTCTTTATTTTGCACTTTGACTCAGCAGAATATTTTTTTGTTTTTAATTTGGTTCCTGGAGTAGACTCGAAAAAAAAAATTGCTTATCTAAATTCATCGGATATTACAGATTTTACGTTTCTTTTGGTTTAATTACCAAAGGCAAACCACTTTTATTTTTCTTGTACAATTTGCTTTTGCTTTTCCTGCTACTAAATTAAAGCTTATTGTCGAGTATTTCTTTATTTAGTGTTCCCATGAACATAAGTTTTATGAGGTCAAAAGTTCATGGATTTAGAGATTTAAAAAAAAAATCAAGTGCAACTTTCTGGTGAAAATAAGTAGACTCAAGCAAAGCTATCGATGCATTCTGCTCAGCCAACCGAGTTGACATTTGCTAACAAAATACGCTGAAAAGTATGAACAAGGAAAACTGCTTATATGTATGTTTGTTTACTAACAGAACCAGTAAGTCCCTTTCCCCATTTCTCCGATGGCGGAGAAATGTTGCACACAAAAATATGTATTCAAAAAGCTTCTGCATTTTAACACATGATTTCATATGCAAATATGAACAATGCAAAGAATAGAGGGAAAAAGACGAAAATTTATGAGAAATCACAAAATTTATGGCATTTCTTGGTGGCAGAGAAGGGAAGGTTGATATTTGGGAAAACTCCGGGCAGAGTTGGCAAGAAGTTGATGTTGTCTAAGCTGTTTTCCCCGTTCATTTTCCGCTCTCTCTCTCGTTTTTCACTTACTTTTCTTGTTTGCCAAAGTTATACAATTTTCTGAGTGTATATGTGTGTGTTTGTACTTTTTGGCACGTGACAATAAATTGTTGTTTGTTGTCTCCCACTGTGTTTGTTGTCCGTTGTCCGCTGTTCGTTGTCTTGCAAGAAAGCAAGAAGCAAAGTGTGTCATAAATGTCATAGTTAATATTTGCTGCTCTGTAAATTTTTGGTTCTTTTGGCCGTTGTTCTTCTTATTTTTTATTTGGCAACTTTGGGAGCTTACTGGTTTATAAATAAAAAGTATATCGCAGCGCTCTGTCAACCTTGACCCAGCAAAAAACAAAGGCGTACGCGACAGAGTGAGATGGGGGGATGCACGAGCGATATAAATTGCAAAGCCAGCAAATTTATGGATTTAACTCAGTCACCGAGTGTGAGTTTGTGTGCGCGCTGGATCCATAACCAATAACCCACAAAAGATTCTGACGGGGTTACTCGTATTTTCAATTAGAGAAGCAGCTAATGGCAAACAGGAAATCA